TAGCGGGAGCAGGAGCGACGAGCAACGAGATCGCGATCGGGATCGGGATCGACAGCGGTAGCGGCGGCAGGTTAGGGTTGGGTAAGGGTTAGGGTTGGGGGTATATCGGTTTAGTTGGTTCGATTGAACCAACTAACAACCGAACCAGACCTAAAAATCTGGTTCGGTCGCCTGGTTTAACCCAGGCGCTCGCCCGAAGCGCCCGACGCCTGGGCTCGGGCGAGCGCCTAGGCGGCGCCTCTTTGAAGTGAGGCGCCTGGACATGAAGCGAGGCGCTCGGGCCTCGCCTCGCCTCGCCCGAGCGCCTAGGCGAGCGCCCGAGCGCCTATTGAAATCACTGATTTGATTTGTTATAATATATACTTTTGCAGGAAATCTATGATATTTTAAAGTTTGGAGGGATAAATTCAATGTTTGGAGGAAAAACGTATGAAAATTTCCCATTATTGATCAATCCAACTTCACATAGCTTATGAGCCATCAAGGTTTGTCATGTGAAAACGAAATAGGCACACCTCTCTATCTTTTCAGTTGGTCCAGGGTCTAGTAAATTAATCACTCTCTTCTTGGTTTTTCTTAAGAATATCATGAAAGAGAAGTAAGAGAAAATAACAGTATGGCCCACATATACATGTCAGATACCAACACATTGTAATGATATCTATAAGTAAGACATATACCATAAATAACTTCAGACAATTCTAAGCTTTGTGATCATCACAATCAAATGATGCTTAGAGGTACCACAAAGCTGTATGACTAAGGGAGGGCAAATGTACATGAAAAATTCTATACTCCAATAAGAGCCTGAAGCAAGAGTTGAATATATCAGAAGATATCTACAAGATGCACAGAAGATGAGAAAATGATTCATGATTCATGAAATGTGGTATAGACATGAATCATATGTAAGGGAGTGTTTGGTACTAAAAGAGACTCAGTTTTATACAACAAAATGTTCTGACATCGAGTTCATTGATCAATAGTAACTAGCTTAAGTGGAGTCATCCTCCCAACTGAAGATCTCAGTAGATTCAGTGATTGCTCTTTCACAATTGTTATTTCCTTTTTACATTCAGCTTATTCTTGTGATGCAATTCTAGTGGACTTTATAATCTCAATGCACAAATCAATTCTGTACTATCATTCGTCTAAATAGTTCAAAAAGGTTAGAAACAAAGTAATTTTAGACTGGGATGCTAGCTGTAAGCAAGTTCAGATATTAGAGGGTCATTATTATCATAAATGCATCATTAGAAGTGACAACAGTAAGACAAACAAATCTTCCCATAATTAGTTCACAAAACATTTCTGATCTATGCAACTTATTATAAGTAAAGTAGGTTCTTTTTAGGGCATACTAAATCAAATTATGTGATGAAATTAGTGTCATTAAGTAGTGTCAATAAGTAGATTAGGATGCACACAGGTTTTACAAATAAAAACAAAAAAGAACAAGTTGATGTTCTTCCACATGTTGCCCATGAAGTTGATCATGGCATTAGAATTTAGAACCATAAGACAACTTCAGAAATCTGTAAAGAAAGGGGCATTTAGAAACAAATCGTATGTTCCAGAAAGCATTGAAGCTCCAGCGCAGAAAATTAGATGCAGCCAACATTTATTAGTTATCATATAAATATCTTATTTTTGTGCTCCCATAATGAAAGATAAGAAGATGACAAGTAAAACATGTTAGAAGAAAGTTTACCTGAGTTCCACTACCATTGTCACTGCCATCTCTTGCATTAAATCCTACACTCCCATTGTCATCATCATTGCTGCCACTATTATTGTCAGAGTCATCAGAGCTCTTTGACTTAACTGATTTCTGGGTTTGGATTCCACTCTCACTTCCGCTACTGCTGGACTGAGATAAAGCAAGTTGGTGCAATCAGAAGCAAACACAAGGGGGAAGGATAATTTACTAAAACAATCAACCAACGAATAGAGGACAAAAGGTCTCATTGTGACAAAACCAGTATCAAAGTGCCTTGACCCATCAAAAATTGAAGATACTTATGACAATGATATAGATGACTATGACTTTTGACAGACACCATAACATAAAGAGCTTGAAATTATCAGTGAACAAGATAAATTACACTGTGGCATCTTCTCCAGACATGCTGCCAAAGGTTTTTAAGCTCATTCTTCCGGATAGGCTTCAGCAAAAAGTCAACTGCACCTTTCGATAGACACTTAAAGACTGTACCCATGGAATCATTTGATGACATCACTGCACACAAAGCTCAAAAAGTGAAGCAGTTAAAAGTATCACATACAAATAATTGATAAACACTTTAAGAAATTGATGTTTTAATAATGAAATAAAAGAAGAATACTCACTGATCACAGGAATATTCTTGCAGGTTTTATGGTTCATGATCTTGCTTAGAAGACCGATGCCTGTTAAACCAGGCATGACTACCTCAGTCAAGACAAGGTCAATATGATTAGTTAGATCCGCCAATATTTTCCATGCCTGTAGACCATTTGCAACAGCAGTAACTGTCAAGAATGAAAAAGTAAATAAATCAATTACCACCTGATTATTTATATTGAACTCACTGCTAAGAAAATAAAGTAGCTTTAGTTCAAGAAAATGTGTACCAAAGACAAATTTAGCAAGCCATAAAAGTTTTTTTTATTACTGAGTAAAACAATACCTGATGATACTATAGGCATGCCACATGTTTCTTGAAATATAAAACTTAGTTGTTCTTGGATGGGTGTAGAACCAAGTTAGATCATGAAATAGTCATAATTGTAGGTCTTCATTAGAATCTCAGATGGATACATCAAGCTGATAATAAAGACTCAAGAAAATTTTCAGGGGTATCATTGCCATTAAATATAATATTGTTTTTCATTTTTCCTTGCAAATCTAAAGAGAACTTTATCCTATCTAATTAGTAGGAATACCATCAGGTCAGGAAAATGAACCATTACCATCCACCATGTGTTTAGAAAATAGAACTTTGGGCCTCGGACCTTGCATTTTATGACAAGGTCAGGTCTGCAATAGTTGCTTCTGATCTATAAACACTCATGGAGCTCAGGAGGGTCAAGGTTTATTGGTCCATAATTAAAAAGAAAATGTGATACTAAGAATATAGTTTAAAACTAAAAACAAAGCTGGTATTATACTTATACGAATTTAACTGGTTATTTTTAAATTAAGAACCAGTTGGAATAAATGAAGGCAAACCTTATTGTAGGATATAAGAAAGTAAAACTAATAATTACCATGGGAAAGAAGAGCATTAAGGAGTCTAAATACAAACACCATCTCCCAGAAATATTACCAAAAAAATATAACATCTAGAGAAGTCAAGGACAAAACAAACAAGCACCATGACAAGAAGGGAAGAGGAAGGGGGATGAAATGTTCGCCATAATATTTTACCCTTGTAGTCCTTACTGAAAAATTACCAACTTAACGAGTTTGTCAATTTGAACATGTTTGTATTGAACCAATTGGTTTGATAACTGCCACACCAAGATGGTCCCATTCATGGTTTAATCTGCATACTCTGCAAACTAAATAGCTCAGAATTCTTTGGGTCTAGATAAAACAAGTGAACCATGTCAGGAGTCAAAAAGGAAACATAAGCTCAATTGGTCATGGAAAACAATGGAAACCCTTGTGGGTACCAAAGTTTAAAACCTTGGTCCAATATTAGTTCTGAAACCTCATTGAACTGACAATACTAGACCTGTACTGCTTTGGTGTCCTTCGAAAGAATTTAAAAAAAAAGTTAACACAAAGTTGACCAAGGTTCGTAATTTCGTATCGTACCGGTATTTCAAGCTTTGCTCGGTACAGTACGGTATGGGTATAGGTGTACCGAGCGGTATGCTAGGGTATATCGCTCGGTACGTATATATATATAATATAATATAATTAAAAAAAAGGAGGCGTATGCTGCCTCGGCGACGTCGCCTCCTTTTCTTCTCCTCGTCGTGTCAGACGAGAAGAAGACCGATCTTCTCTACATCTGCGGCGTTTGACGAAGGCATCGAAGGCTACAGACGCCTTCGGTCTTCGGCAAAGAATGCGACAAAGGCCGCAAGCATCTTCAACCTTCGGCGAAGAACGCGACGAAGAAGAAGCTGAGCCACCGCCTCTCTATTACCTTCTGGATCGGGATCATCGAGGGAGGGTAGCACTGGATCAGAAAGCGTCAAGGTTCTCCTGATTCTTCCTCTTCTTCAAACGCCTTCTCTCTCTTCTCCCTCGACATTTATTCTTCCCTCGCCGCAGCCAGGCTGATACCGCCCAGTACGAGCGCTATCATTTGAAATTAAAATCCTTGAAGTTGACAATAGGAGCTAATTTCATATTTGGAAAAATTTATTTATAAATACAAAAGGGTTAAGGTCCATTTTAGCCATTGTGGTTTTGGCCATGGACCATTTAAGCCCTTATGGTTTACTCATGTCTAAAATAACCCATACATTTTTACAAACGTAGCATATAAGCCCCTCCTGTCAAGTCTGAGGTAACAAACGTTAGAGTCTGCTTATGTGGCATGCTAACTCACAATAAACCATTAATATAATAACATGTGTAATTTAAGTTTAAAAAATTGTTAAGGTCCATTCTAGCTCCTGTGGTTTTGGTCATGAACCATTTAAGCCTTTGTGGTTTACTCGTGTCTAAAATAACTACTACATTTTAAAAAACGTAACATATAAGTCCCTCCCGTCAAGTCTGAGTTAACAGACGTTAGAGTCTGCTTACGCGGCATACTGACTCGCCAGAAACCATTAATATAAGGGTTAAGGTCCATTTTAGCCCCTATGGTTTTGGTTGTGGACCTCTTAAGCCCTTATGGTTTACTCGTGTCTAAAATAACTCGTACATTTTAAAAAACGTAGTATATAAGCTCCTCCCGTCAAGTCAAAGTTAATAGATGTTAAAGTCTGCTTATGTGACATGTTGACTCACAATAAACTATTAATATAATGACATGTGTAATTTAGGATTAAGGTCAATTTTAGCCCCTGTAGTTTTTGTCATAGACCTCTTAAGCCCTTATGGTTTACTCGTGTCTAAAATAACCCCTATAGTTTCAAAAACGTAACATATAAGCCTCTCCCGTCAAGTTTGAGTTAACAGACGTTAAAGTCTACTTGCGTGGCATGCTGACTCACAATAAACTATTAATATAATGACACATGTAATTTCAGTTAAAAAAAAAACTAAGACCTCCATCAATGGCAGGAGGCGTCGTTGTGGAAGTGACCACCAACAACATCATCGAGCCACTGCTACCTAGTAGGGCATTATACGCACGCAGCCTCTCCCGCACTGACGATGACCTGCTAGGCAGCAACGACTCGATGTTGCTATTAGTGATCGTTTCCACAACGACGCCTCCTCTAGCCATTGATGAATGTCTCAGTTTTTTTTAAACTTAAATTACACATATCATTATATTAATGATTTATTGTGAGTTAGCATGCCATGTAAACAGACTCTAACGTCTTTTAACTCAGACTTGATGAGAGGGACTTATATGCTACGTTTTTTAAAATATATGAGTTATTTTAGATACGAGTAAACCATAAGGGCTTAAGAGGTCCATGGCCAAAACTATAGGAGCTAAAATGGACCTTAACTCTAAATTACACATGTCATTATATTAATGTGTTTATTATGAGTCAACATGCCACATAAGCAAACTATAACGTTTGTTAACTCAAACTTGACGGGAGAGGCTTATATACTACGTTTTTAAAAATATAAGAGTTATTTTAGACACAAGTAAACCATAAGGGCTTAAGAAGTCCATGGCCAAAACCACATAGGCTAAAATGGACCTTAACCCTTAATATAATGACACGTGTAATTTAAGTTTAAAAAAAGGTTAAGGTCCATTTTATCAAGGAAGTGGAAGCGACGGAACCCATGGCGGTGGACGAAGGCGAAGAGACAAATGTAAGAGAGGCTGGAGGTGGAGGTGGAGGTGGAGGTGAGAGAGAGCTGGACCATCACGTTGTAGGCGCAACGGGTGAGGGCACAAGAGAGGACGAAGTGGGAAGCGGTAGGGACGAAGACACCTAAGAGGAGGAAGACCAGGAGACCACTACGTGCCTAGCATCGAGCTGGTCGACGCACATCCACCTAAGGCAGAACCGAAAGCTCATGAGCTCGTCATCAGTACGGGAGAGGCTATGTGCGTACGATGCTCTATTAGACAGGAGAGGCTCGGTGCTGCTGCTAGTTGTCGCTTCCATGACGCCTCCTCCTACCATTGATGGTGGACGTCTGTTAACTCAGACTTGACGAAAAGGGCTTATATGCTACGTTATTTAAAATATAAGGGTTATTTTAGATACGAATAAACCATAAGGGCTTAAGTGGTCCATGACCAAAATCATAGGGGCTAAAATAGACCTTAACCCTTTTCTAAACATAAATTACACGTGTCATTATATTAATGATTTATTGCATGTCAGCATGCCACGTAAGCATACTCTAATGTTTGTTAACTCAAACTTGATGAGAGGAGCTTATATGCTATATTTTTAAAAATGTAGGGGTTTTTTTTTACATGAGTAAACCATAAGGGCTTAAGTGATCTATGACCAAAACCACATGGGCTAAAATGGACCTTAACCCAATATAAAAATAAAATAACATATTATAAATGATAGTGTATGACATGAATTTTAAAACAACAAAAAGTGGACAATATAAAATAATTTCATACTCAAAACAATTATAGATGGAGAAAAGGTGTTGCAAAAGAGATTCCATGTAATGAAACACAAAAGAACAATCTATAAACTTCTATGCACTGGAATATTCAGGGCAAGTAAGACAACTGTTCATTCTACTTGCCATAAGAAAAGCTTACAATCTATAAATTCATAAATGCAGATTAACCTATAAATATCCAAACCCCATAATGATAGAAGCCTCAAACGCTAGGTTCAGTCTTAACATTAACCTATAGATATCAAGAAGTATCCCATATTATTTTCTTCCTGAAAAGAGTCATTTAAATCATGGCATTAAATATACTAATGTTGTTTATACCATACATACGCAATCCATTTCTTTGGGAATCGAGTTAGGCTTTGCCTTGATGTGGATCAGCCTATGCCATGACTGAAATGATCCAAGCTCTAATTTTCAGACTTAAGTACCTTGGTTTGACCCAGCACAGAGCCCATACTTAATTGTATTTACAACTAGGGAGCAATTCAACCATGATTATGTTAATGGATGGATAGACTCCCACAAGTAAAACAAAATGATATTTGATAAAAGGAATATAATAACCATGTGCACTTGATAATAATCCATAGTTCTTTAAAGGATATCACCAGTAGGCATTTGTTAGGTATCCTGTTTGAGCATGTAACACATGTTGTATGTTTAATAATCCCCAGATCTTATAAGGACCTTTACTGTTGTTATCTACAATTAAGTATCAAATTCCATCATAGGCTTACAACATTTAGACCGGTGAATTCTTTTGTCTATGACCACTATGATCTTCAATCTCCTATATTTTGATGATCGATCCCATTTAAAACAAACAATTAATGGGCATGCAAAGTAAAAACTCATCACAAGTAAAAGGAAGTGAACAATTGAAATGAAAATCTCATGGTCATTGCCTAAATATTGCAAGCAAAGTTCAGTAAGACCATATGAGCACAGAAACATTTTCCCTTTAAAGGAAAGGGAGTTCCCTCATCCCTCCATTTGGTTGAAGAAGCTGAAATAAAGCAAATAAAGCAACTCAATAGATATGTCCATCTAAATCACATATTTATTGTGTATAACAGAAAATCAACTACAGTTTACCCAACCTATAAGGAAAATGCAGAATATTTATCAAAATCAGAAGTCAGAACAACAAAACAAATGTCTAGCCCACCTAGAATGGAAAATCTATTATATTTAGAAGATATGAAGATGACAGTTGTTGCCTTTTTTTAGCACACTAAGTTCAGCACTTACAATAGAATTGAGTTAAAACTAAAGCAGAATCACCAAGAGATTGAATGTTTACCTTCATAACTGCAGTTGCGGAGTAACGCACTGACAACTTGACGCGTCGAATCATCATACTCCACCAGCAAAATCTTGAGCGTTCTGATGGGAAGGAACCTCTCCCAGCGGATGATTGGCCCTGGCGACTGTTGCTGCTGCTGCTTCTGGAGCCCACCAGACTGTTGTTCCGGTGGCACAGCATCCCCTATCTGGTTATGGTTCAACCCTCCCACTGCCTCATTGATCTTGGACTCATCTTCCTCTGAGAGCCCTTGACCTTCCTCGGCAGCGGCATCCGCTACCTCCTTGTACTCGTTCTGATCCCGATGGCTACTGCTCGCCAGCCCCTTATTCCTACCCCCATCGGGGCTCACCTGATGGGCACCTCCCATCAATAACAACTAAATGCACACATCTCGTTCCCTTCTTAACGAGCATAGAACGTAAACCCCGATCAACACCTATTTCTGAAACCACAATAAAAGATGGCGATGAACTCGAAGCACTGCAAATTGAAACCATTCTCAGACCAACAAAAGATAAAACAGCTATTTCGAGTAAAACACGATATCGCCTTCGAATCAGACTTCAAAACAAAGACAATCATCAAAATGAAAGAGTAATCCGCCGATTTGCGGCCTTACATGACGATCAACAGCGATACTAACGAAAAGCCCAAAGAGCTAATCGAGAACCACAAAGAGCAAAGAGCCAACAAAAGAATCCAACAAAACGCCAAATAGATTTCCAGACCAAGAGGAACTCTCAACAACCTTGATTAACACCATCAAGAACAGGGAAAACGTATCAGATTTCGAGTCCCTCCGCCACCGATAAAAGTGTGAAATCTCAGGAACCCGTTCCCGGAGATCCGACCAACTACAAACTCCCTGTAAAGATCCAAAAAATAAAGGAAAAGAAAATGTCAGGGAGGAGGAGGATCCGATTTGGGGAATCTAAATCTCAGGTCGGCGAGGAGCTCCTTCTTGGTCTTGGCCAGGGGGAAGCGCCATGGACTACGGCTCGGACCGGGGGGGGGGCGCGGGGTGCGCGGGGGGTGGGGGATGGTGTGTCGGGGGTGGGGGGTTTCGGTTTGAGACGAGATATCATCGGAACCGGAGGCGTCGAAGGAGAGAGATATTAGGGTCGGGTCGCTGGGTGACGTGGAGCAAATGGAGGTGGGCAACAGGCCTCGAGGCCAAGTCGGACGGGAGATGGCCTCACGTGGAGGTACACGTGGACGAGATCAATAGCCGCGAGCTGACGCTTCCCCTGCGCATCCGCTGCGATCGATTTCGGCCACGTCGGAAGGTGCGGGGCGTGCATCAGTTAGCTTACCGCAACGCGTCTGGATGCCTTATGTAGTAAATAAAAGGAGATTCGAGGGCGGTATGCTAAATCTGGCAGTGCGGGGACCAGCCAGTGCGAGAATAAAAATCATAACGTCGAGTTAACGGTGTTTATGTTCTCCCTTATTCCGGATTCGGATCACGGTGTTATTTGGAAACACTCGGACCCAAAAAAAAATTTGTATCTTTACATTTCTGTTATTACTGATATGAAAAACAGAGAGAGAGAGAGAGAGAGAGAGAGAGAGAGAGAGAGAGAGAGAGAAAGCTTAAAAACTATTTTATTAAAAATTTCAAATATATTTATATATTTATAAATTTTAATATGATCAACACCAAATAATTAGGATGCTATGGTTTATTGTTTATTTTTAAACATAATAATAAACCCTAATTTTTTGGTTTTTAAAATTAGAATACAAGTAAATAATAAATGATTTGTTTCTATATTATAAATAATTGGATCAATGGTAATAATGTTATGAATATCATCGATTGGTGAGTCGAGCTGATAGGTTCACTATTAACGATGGAGGTTCGTTAGGAGGACTGTTCGTAAGGGGTGATCTAGCTTTGAAATGGAAAGACCGAGTAGAGGAACGGGGCTCTCCCTTGTTGTGGGGTCATCTCCTAACAGCGATGTCATCTCTTGGTTGCTGATAGTCCTGCACAGGGGCTTCCCGACTGAGCGCTTGGTGGGGGCTGTCGAGTCACCATCTTGGCACCTCCCTTACTTGGTGGGGTGAAGGTGTCAATGTGGGTGGCTTGCTTGCATGTGGGCTACATCAGTAGGATTGTCAAGGTCATGCTTGTGGTCAGGAACCCTTCTTTTGTTCAGGTCGAGTACGACCTTCTCTTTCTCTATCTGGTTAGAAGGACAGGTGAGGTTGGGTCATGCCGTCAACCATTAATGTAAAGCGGGTCATGGTGTGCCCACTTCTTGAACTTAGACCGGATCACATGGTGTCTTACGGGGAGCTGATGACTTGGAGTCTTGCTTAGGTATTTGCTTACGTGGTTGAGAAGCTAGGAAGGGATAGGATTATCCCTATGGCCCCTTGGCGTTGGTTAGGGTGTCATAAACTTAGTTGAAATTGTCTAAGTCGTGAGACACCCTTGCAGCAAAGTCATGGACTTAGTTGGAGTTGCCTAAGTCATGAAGCACCCTTGTACCAACTCATCGAACTTAGCTATGATTGCCTAAGTCATGAGGCGCCCTTATAACATATGCGTCCGCAAAGGGTCAGCCTTATTACAACCTCGTACAGGTCTCGAAGGACTTGTAAAACAGAAAGCTGATTAGATTGAAAACGAGCGACAAACAAGTCCTGATGTCTCACGAAGAGGGAAGCTTTACAAGCAACTTATCGAGCACCTTGAGTGTAAGAGAAAAAGGAGAATGAGAAAACAAGGACTTTCAAAGGTAGAATGAACAATTGCAAGTCTACAAACAACTGCTCACCAGGTGTCGGGCGCGAAGGCAAGTTCTTGTCAAGTTAACATGCAAACTTATGAAGATTGTACAATGCCCGATAATATACCGAAGTCCTATCCAGCCCTGTGCCACCCGGGGGTTCCAGGGTACTGAGATGGTTGACATTTTGCATGCAGTTGCGGTTTCCAGAAAACAAGTCGTGACAAATAAAACGGAGCCATTTTGTGGCAATTCGACCCAACGCGACAAGCGATCGCACTATAGTGCTGCGAACTATCATTGCTTATATTTTCCATGCAAAAATATGTCAAATCAATGCAAAACATGCTGCCATATCTTTGTACAAGCATGCAAAAGCGATGAACGGTTCGTTGAACGTAGTTGTTGCGAGTGCGCGACGACCATTCATGATATTCTCCCCTACTTAAACTGTCGATGCCCTCATCGACGCTTGTTGGTAGTTGTTGACGACTGCTTCTTCATATCATAGGGCATCTTCGGGCTCCTAATTGGCTTCGGTTCGGGGAAGCTTTCGTCACTTCACCAAGTACTCGGTCTGCTCAGCTCCATTGGGTAGCTTTATCTTGCGATCCGCTAAAATGGTTTCAACTCGCTTCTCGTTGGAGGCTCTGATGGGGGGTAGCCGAGTTGGAATACTTCGGGAAGCATCTTGCAGATCCAGTGGTAGGCTTTCAAGTTGCTGGCATGAAAAACATTATGAATTTTGAACCACGTCGGCAGTTGTAACTTATAGGAGATGTTGCCCACCCTACTGATAATTGGAAATGACCCATCATACTTGCACACCAATCCTTTGTGTACTTTGTGCTTAAAGAATTGGAGTGATGTTGGTTGGAGTTTCACCAACTTTAAACTCTTGTGATCGCCTTCCTAAGTATGCCTACTTCTTTATCTTTTTGGTTGCCTTCTCCAAGTAAGCACGCGCAATATCTACATTTCGGTGTCATTCTTTTGCAAAGTGATATGCTGACGGACTACTCCTAGTATATTTGATAGCTAAGGTGTGAGTAGTTGACGGTCGTTGTCCTGTAATGATCTCAAAGGAGTTCTTGTTGTCCTGTAATGATCTCGAAGGAGCTATGTCCAATAGCTTCACCCAATCTCGTTGGTTGGCACTCATGTAGTGCCGAAGATATTGCTCAAGGAACAAGTTTATCCTTTCGGTTTAGTCATCCTCTGAGGGTGGAGGCTTATAGAGAAGTATAACTTAAACCCCAACAATTTGAATAACTCGGTCCAGAATCGTCTCATGAACTATGCGTCTCGATCACTGATGATATTGTATGAGACTCCCCAATACTTCACCACATTCATCATCATTAACTTGGCCGTCTCCTCTACTGAACAGTGCAGAGGTGCGGCAATGAAAGTTGCATACTTTGAAAATCGATCGACAACCATAAGTATCGATCCGAGTCCCCCTACTACTGGCAAGCTTGATATGAAATCCAAGGAAATGCTCTCCCAGGGCCTTTTTGGTACGGGAAAATGCTCCAAAAGTCCCACTGGCTTCCGCTACTCCACCTTGTCTTGTTGGTAAGTAAAGCACATTTGAACATATTCCTCCACATCAGTCCCCATATTCGACCAGTAGAAGGCCCTCTCTATGAGAGCCAATGTTCGGTGAATGCCCAGATGTCCTGCCCAAAGAGAATTGTGACACTCTCTCAAGAGTTCGCATCTCAAATTATCCACTTGAGGAACATAAAACCTATTCCCTTTGGTGTAGACGTGTCTCTCCTGGACCCAAAATTATTGTGTCTTGCCTTCTTTGATTAGTTGCATCAGGGTTACTACTTGGGGATCACTATACAGTCCATTCCTGATTCTAGAAAGGAAGTTGGAGTGCAGCTGACTTTCTTGGCCTCCGCCTTCTAGTTGTATGACATTCACCCACTCTACTTTCTAGCACAACACATCAGCCACGACATTTCCTTTTCCGGGCTTGTACTCCATTGTCATATCAAATTCGGCCAAGAAGTCCTTGTTGAATCTTGGATTTTGATGATGAAATCAATTGATGAGTTTACGATCTAATCTGCATTTTGAGTGACGCATGACTAACTTCAATCAGAAAAGGAAAATTGATTAAAGTAGGAAGAATCAGACATTGGACCGAAGTGGAAAATGTAAGAAGATTGGACGTCGAGTCGGAGGATTGGTCGACATATCGGTAGAAGGCTTCGTGCCATGAGTTCGAGCATCGGTCAAAAGGATCAGACATTGCGCCAAGGAGATCGGATGTTGCGGAGGTCAATATGTCGATTGGGCAATACGTCGCAAGAGAGGACGATGCGCTAAAAGGATCGGATGAAGTGCCGAATGAACCAATGACATGATGGACAACATAGGATTCATGCTTGTAATCGTGTGTGTCTAGATCGAGTTAGTTAGGTCTAATTGAGTTGGTTTTAGGTGTAGCTATGCCAACTTGATTAGTGGCCAATTAGGCTTGAATCAGGGATGATTTGGGCTTGTTATTTGGCCCATTCAGTATCCTGTAGTCTCAGGGATTTAAATTTTGGCTCCACTTTTTGAAGCCATCTGAGGCCTATAAATGCCCCACTCATCCTTGCTCGGTTAAGACAAGAACTGAAACAAAAATAGTGTGAAAACTCTATAGTAAATCCTTGAGAATTCCCCTCTAGCTCTAAGTTTCAGTTTTAGTTTAAGAGGGGTGAGTGGCTTGTAAAGATTAACTCCTGAACCTGTGAAAAGGAGAAATGAGTTGTAAGGGTAGTTGATCTTTACCCATTAGAAAGAAGATCGGTAATGGAAGCCGGTGGCCTCGAGTGAAGAGGAATCGAGAGTGGATGTAGGTCACGACGACCGAACCACTATAAAATTGGTGTGCCTCCTTTACTCTACTTGTTTACTTATTTTGTAACTACTTTATCTGCTTATTACTACTCTTGCAAATGTTTTAAGTTTAAACGTCTTTCCGATACAATTTTATCGAATGAGATTTTTGAATCAACGTAACTTTTACGAAAGCACTAATTCAACCCCCCCCCTCCTCTTAGTGCCGACTTAGTTCTAATAGTTGGTATCAGAGCTTGATTTTTCTCGATTGGATTAACACTCAAGAGAGATGGTTTTTTTTAACTTTCAAGAGGGTCTTTCTATCACTCGTCCTCCTATGTTCAATAGGACGGACTACACTTATTGGATAACTTGGATGAGAGTTTTCTTGCTTTCTTTGAACTTTGATTTATGGAATATCATTGAACTTGGTTTTCAAACCCCCTCTAAACCTATGAATGAATGAA